ACCCTAAACCCACGTAACCCACGCCTCAGGATCCACCATGCACTTGATGAGACCCATGGAACCATCCTCCGGGGATTGGGCCATGAAAGGCATGATGCAGCAGCTCCTGGGCTCTTCAACTCTCTAGGGTGTAGGGTTTAGGGTTTAGGGTCTAGGGTTTAGGGTTTTATTGTCTAGGGTTTAGGGTTTAGGGTTTAGGGCTAGGGTGTAGGGCTTCAAGGTTTAGGCTCAAGGTTTAGGGTAGGGTTTAGAGGTGAGGGTAGAAGGTTTGAGGTTTTAGGGTGGAGGGTTTTCGGGTTTAGGGTTCAGGGTAGCTTGGACTTTCGGGATTATAGGGTTTGGGGCTCATTACGTTTGAGGGTTCCTGAGCTCTTTCGTAAAAGACTGCGCTTTATAGGGCTTTGTTGGATTCTTCAGGAACTTCATGTAAGCTTCCATATATGAACTTCCATATATCGTTTGGTAACTTGGACTAGACAAGCTTCCTAACCCCTGAACCCCTAAACCCCTAATCCCCAAAATCCTAAAACCCCCCAGAAGCCCCCCTGAACCCCAAACCCGAAACCCCTAAGGCCCTAAACCCCGAAGCCCCTAAATCCCGAAACCCGAAGCCCCTAAGGCCTAAACCTGAACCCTTAAACCTAAACCTAAACCCCTAAACCCTGAAGCGCCTTATCCAGAGCCGAGGTTCAGGCAGCAATCCGTGCAGCATCCGAACTTGAGGCCATTGCTGAGGTTCGTGGCAGATCCACCTGAGGGCTTAGGGCTTAGGGTTCCGGGTGCCAGGCTCAGGGTTTAATCAAGGCTCAAAGGACCCTAAACCCTAAACCCTGAACCCTAAACCCTAAACCCTAAACCGGTTTTTCGGTTTAGGGTTTAGGGTCCAGGGTGTAGTGCGGTGTTGATTGGACACAACCGAAGAGCAGCCATGTATCTGAACTGCTCCAATATGTTTTAGGGTTTAGGTTTTAGGGGTTTAGGGTTTAGGGTTTAGGGTTTAGGGTTTAGGGTATGTTGCCCCCTTGTTGACTTTTGTTAAGCAACAAAACACATAAAAAAAACACAAAAACACACACAGAGACACACATACGTCTCCATATATATATATATATATACATGTATGTATCGGCTGTATATGTATATGTATATATACATATGTGTACATGTGTCCACACACATAGATACGCTGTGTCTCTCCCTCCCTCCCTCCCTCCCTCCCTCCCTCCCTCCATTCCAAAATTGCTATGATCGATACTCTGATGAAATTATGGACACGCACATATCAAGATTTTGCTCATAAAAGCAGGCAAGCGCGTGAGAACACAAGGGCGTGAACGCATGCAAACATGCATAGAAGTAAACAAGCAGAAGCACATCTCCACACGCAGAGACACGAGCAGACACACATGGTACCCCCTCTAAACCCTACCTCCAAGCCTTTCCTTATACATGTATGCCACCACACGGCACCACATTTCTGTACAAGCGCGCACACACACACACACACGCACACAAGGATAAGCGTATACGAACATTACTAAATCAACCGAAAGGGACCGTGTATGCCGGATCGATCCGGGCCGTGTTTCAGTATAATCAGTATTTATACTGAACCCCTGCGCGGATCAGAGATCAGAGATCAGAGACGCCGTGGATTTTTTTCCATGGCATCTCTGATCTCTGATCCGGGCCGGGTTTCAGTATAATTCAGTATACACCAGTATTTATTCTGAACCATATGATGGAGATGAGCATCATATTGTCATACTATATGTTGAAAGTTTAAGATATGTATCTAGCTAGGTATTAGGCTTCAGACCTTGTTAACGCTGACACGTGCAGGTTCTGGAATTCCATCCCTTTTTAGCTTATAGAATACCCTGTAGAATGCCCTACAGAGAGTCTTACAGAATTCGATGTGCAATATTTGATACAGTACTGTGCCTTCTATATACCCTATAAACATCTTATAGCAGACCATCTGTACTACCTTGTAGAATGCCTTGTAGAAGACCACTTATGTATGATACGATTTGTATACCTTAGAAAAACATATGCCCCTATACAATACCTTATAGGATACTTCTTCGACCCCCGTTTAGAATAGAATACCCTGTAGAGAGCGCTATAGATAAGGATGGTAAATATGGAACATCAGCCGGAGCCCAAGACCTGACAATTTCCAGCTGAGTTGTACCTAATTACGAAACGGATTCCTACTAAGGACATCAGGAACCTACCAATAGAAGAACATCCTTGAACATACCTTACAGAATAAGACTCTCTTTTTGCTGTCAAGAATTTCATATAGAATACCCCGGCTTTACCATATAGCATTTATCCTATATATCTTGTACATACCTTATGGAATACCCTTCGCCTTTTGAATACCTTGTAGAATTCTTTCACATATCTATATATATATATACACACCCTAGAGAATACCTTTTACACAATACCTTGTGGAAAACCCTATAGATACCCTATAGAATGCCCCATAATACCTTGCTTGTCTCTTATATACCCTATATAGCTTTGTAGAATGCCGTATAAACAAAAACCTTTACACGATGTTCCCTGCAACCTTATATATATATATATACCTTTGATAACCCCCTTGGAATACCCAAAAGAGAACCTACAGATCAGGACTTTTATAGGGGAAATCAGGAGGAGCCCATCTTGTAGCTTATTGAGCAAGGGATTTCAACGGAAGAATGATAAATAAAGGAGACTAGCATGTAGAATACCTTACAGAATACCCTTCTACAAACCTTAAAGACGTTCATGTAAAGTACGGAAATACCTTATAGAATACCCTCCATACACCCCAGTTGAACTGTAGTTTACTGGGTAACGGGTTCATATGAAGGACATGCGAAATTTAGGAACCAGGAATTCCTTGAACAAGTCGAAGCTTGTCTAATAAGGGATACAAACAGAGAACAGAATCCTTGTAAAAAAAACACCCTTCTACATACCCTATAGGAAACCTTCTAGGGCAATTTGTGGAATAGCCTGTAGAATACCTTTTGACTGCTGCATAGAATACTTTGAACAGTTCCACTGACATACCCTATACTTTATAGAATACCATCTGGAATATCCTGTGGAATGCCCTATAGAGAACCACCTACATGTGATACATCCTGTATACCTTATGCATGCCATATAGATCACCTATAGAATATCTTATAGGATACCCTTTAAAATCCCCAATAGAAAACCCTACAAAGAGTAACCCAAAGCACCCTACAGATAGGGACTTCAAAGACGGAAAACCAGTCGGAGCCCAGGATCTGAGAAGTCCCCAGTTGAATTGTAGCTTCTGGGTAAGACATTCCTATGAAGAGAACCAAGAACCAAGAAGAATAGCCGCACAACTACCTTATAGAATACCACCTCTTTCTACTTTAAAGAATTTCATATACAATACAATGTAGAATACCTTCCGAAAAAGAGGCTACAGAATACCATTTGTACAATACCTGGAATACCCTATAGTATACCTTCTAGAATGCCCTGTAGAATACCATCTGGACTACCCTGTAGTAGATCACCTTACAGAAGACCGCCTATGTAATATAGCTTCTGTATACCTCAAATATACCTCTTAGAACATCCTTGGAAATACCTTTTAGGATACCCTTTAGAGTACCTTAGAGAATACCCTGTAGCATACCCCACAGATAACGCTTTGAATAAGGAGAATCACCATCAAAAGCCAACCGCAAAAAAAAGCCGAGTATACAGAGGGCAGTAGAGTAATTGTTGATATGATCTTGGTTTGAACGATTTTTGTGTTTCGTGTCGTCGCACACAGGGAATACTAAGCAATATTTATCATATTTTTCTTGATTTGGACGGTTTTGCAACGTCGTAGACAGGACATACTCGGCAATACATAGTACCCTCATCTTGGATTGAACGGTGTTGTGTTGTCGTAGACAGGGCATACTAGGAAATACTTAGTATCACGAACTTGGTTTGAACGGTTGTGGAAATAAGACTTGTGGTCGGAGTAGAGCCGCAACGTAGTCTAAAAATCACAGCAGGAGGCTTTGAGGTAGGTTTCAGAGGGGGGTAGCATATATATATATATATATATATATTATATATATATACATAGTATATATACACATATAGGATGCAGCACTCCACATATAGATAGATGAATTTAGTAAATAAAAACAATATCTATCTATAATATATATATATATATAGATATATGTGTAAATATACATATATGTATACACACGTGTGCATACAAACAAATATACAGAAACCTGAATATTCGTCTATATGTACATGCATATATATATATATATATATGTTAAACTCATCTATCTATGAATGGAGTTATGCATCATATAATAAATAAATAAATACATATATCTCTATATATATATATTCATGTATATTTGTATCTACACACAGGCCTACATGAAGCTACTAGCTAGTACACACACACACAAGTGTATATGTAACAGCGTATGCAAGAAATGGGTGAGCACATTCGTATATATGTATATGTATGTACACATGTTAACATATGTATATATATATATAGAGAGAGAGAGAGAAAGGTGTGCGTGTGTGTGTGTGTGTTGCATGCACCTTGCGTTTGTGCCTATGAGCGACAGTGAGCATGCACACTCATGACAAGTGATTCTGCGCTGCCCAATCTTCAGTTGCAACCGCCTTTCAGTTGTGACGGTTGTGGGTCTTGTCTTGGACAGTACTCTGTTAGACGACATGCGGTTGGAGTGAAATGCATGGATCTGCATCCGTCGGTGCGTCTACACACCCATGTACCCATGTACTTGACTTTTTGGGCAAACTCACACACAACGAAACATCTGTGTGTGCAAGCATACAGTGTATGCTTGCACAGGTATATGTCATATACCTATACACCCATGAGTACACACTCAGAATTTCCATACATACAACCATGCATGCATACGTCTGTACATACACCCATGCACATCGACTTGTACTTACACGTATGCGTATACACGTACGCACCTAAAGCTCAACCCAAAAGCCGTAAACACATAGCATCGTTATAGCACCCTTCAAGGAACCCAGGAAAGGCTGAACTAAAGAACAACATCTCCGACCTGGGTGACAGGTCAAGGACCTGACTTTGGAGTTCTTGGCCTTCAGCTTCTCGTGGAGCCCGTAAGTGAAGACCTATTATTTGCTTAGCGCTTTGGGTTTTAGGGTTTTAGGTTTCGCGTTTCAGGGTTGAGGGTTTAGGGATTCGGGTTGAAAGTTCAAGGCTTCGGTTGTAGTCTTCGGGGTTTCGGTGACACCTTCTGAGGGAACTAGAGTGTACTAGAAGGGTTCTATAAGGGCCGCACTACAGGTTTTGTTCTAAACCTGGTGCCTAGGGTTCTGGCTTTCACTTTTCCTTAGAGGGTCATGCCTTTCAGGGGCACCTGGTTTTATGGTCAGCATCCGCTAGACGGTTTAGGGTTTAGGGTTTAGGGCCGGTTTAGGATGAAATTTCACACACCCCGAAAGGGTGGGTTATGACATGTTATGACCACCTGGGTAGCTCAAATACCACCCGCGCGCCAAGATGTAGAGCTGTGTAGGGCTCGGGGCTTACGAAAGTTAACCAGATACAGAAACCCGCCAAATGACCCTCCGGGTAGCTCAAGGAAGCCCAATATTTAGAGCAGTTAAGGATTTTGGTTAAGGTCTTGAGGGCTATGCTTAGAGTGGCTAAACACAAAAACCCTGTAGACCCAATGTAAATACAAAAAAGCAAGATCGCAATTGCCACCGGAAAACGGAGTTGGCCAACTTGGTCTGGAAGTAGCGATGATAGCCTGGGTCCCACTTACCCGATGAAAGCTATAAAGCCCGAATAAAGCAGTATTCAACCAAAAAACCTCTAAAAACCTGTGACACCCCGTGAAATCCGCGAAAAAGGCCCTTCAGAAGAGCTGACCAAGTGACAGGCCCCACCCATCATTTTCAGTGAGTCTCCGCCCAAGTTGCCACCGTTCTTCCCGAAGTACTTCTCCTGTTCTGGGGATTAGGGCTTAGTTCTCTTGTTAAACACGCGTAGCCCTAAATTCGAAACCTGAAGTTTATTTAGGCTTTGAGAGCCTTTATGACAAGTCATCCGTCCTCCAAACCTTTGTTCACAGTGTGAAGACGTCCCAGACTGGAGTGAGTCACCTCTCTTCTTCAATACACGGGCCAGAAAAACTTAGACTTTCTCAGAGTAGGATAGACCAAGTATGTGAGGCCTGAAAGTTCCCTAAAACCCTAAAACCCTAAACACAAACTAAACCCCTAAACCGTCCCTCAATGGGCCATCGAAGTCACAATGCGAGCATCCCCGGAGGCTTCGGCTTCGGCTTGCAACAACGGGAAGAGCTCCGCTGCAAGCAGGAAGTGCGAGAGGTGATTCGTCTGCATCTGTGTGTCATAGCCTTAGTTGCCCAGTTCTTCCGCCCCAAAAAAGTTTAAACTTTTCATCTTAAAAGCAAAAAAAAGTTCAAGGTTTACAAACTCAGCTACTAAGTAGCCGTCCTTGGTTGCCTTGTCTGGCGTGGCCATGATGCCTGCATTCAGGGAGAGGCAGTACAGCTTCTCATACTTGGACTTGATCTCCGCTGCGGCTTTCCGGACACTCTCGAAATCCTGGAGGTCGCACGCAACGTCGATAAACTTCCCCTCGGGCACGATGGTCTTCAACTGGTCCATAGAATCCTTGGCTGACTTCTGAACCCTCCTAAAAGTTGAACTTTTAGCATCCTTATTCTGGTTCGTATAGAAACCCAAGAAGTTAAAGTCCTAAGAGCCTACCAGAAGAACACCAAGAATCGCTGACCCGCTGGGACGTGCGATTCAGCAGGAGGACTGTTCCACCAAGCTCAGCCACGACCCATGCTGCCACAAAGCCTGGATTCGTGCTTCCAAAAGATCACACATGTACTACGATATTGTGGAATTCGGTGCCCCCGAAAAAGCCGTGATGGAAATTTTGTCAGGAACCTAATTCCAGAATTCTAACACAAGTAACAAATGGACTAATGGATCCTCTATGTTAAGCGCATATGATCCGCTGTCCTCTTCTCTGTCTTGAGTCAAGCTCCTGAACAAGAGTCCCACGCCCGGTTGAAACCCTAAACCCTATAAACCCTAAACCCTAAACCCTAAACCCTAAGCGGCCCTTACAACAACTCCTACCTCTCGAACTACGACGAATTTACGTAACTTTAGCTGTCGCCTTGAAGTGCCTTAACCCTTACCCTCAAAGGACTCATATTTTAAGGCTCTTGGGCCCAAAGACCCTCTTATAAAAGGCTTTTGGGCTATTTTGGTGCTAAGGGTAATTGTCCCGGAAGCCAGTACCAGATGTTGTGCCGGTGATCGCGAAAACCTTGCCGTCCACGCGGGGGAGTGCCTTCTTGAACTTCGGGAACCACTTCCTGGGCTGTTCTTTGGAGGCCCTTTCAACAACTGCTTATACTTTTCATACCGTCTTAGTCACAAAAGTCTGCTGGAAAAAAAGTTGCACATGCTTCTTCTTCAGAATATACCCTAAGCCCTGTAAGACCCGTCACCCTGAACCCTAAACCCTATATATAACTGCATTATATGCCACTTTTGAAGAATTTTCCGAGCGTGACTTGAAACTATAGAATTCATAAGCCCTATAAACCCTAAACCCTGAAGACTTATGGCCAATAGCAGCCTGGCTTCGGTGCACGCCCCATCTGAAGTGCGGATGGCAGATCCAGCTACTAAACCCTGTATGGCTTCAGGCACTGCCAGGGAGTTCCAAGTCTAGGCATAGAAGGCTGGACAGCCTCATGCACTTCTCAACACCCTTTTCGGGTTCAGGGTTTAGGCGCTACGAGCTATAATTTCTACTGGATCAGAAGCAGAAGGTGCATCTTTCAACACATGTGGGGCCCACCTTCCGTCGCTAGCTCTTGCCGGTGTCGCCGCAGCCGGTGTAGCAAGCGACATACTATATACTGTGTAGCTTTGACAGAAGTATGTTGGGATACTTGAATACACGGACCATAGAGACACGCTTTTCGGACCCCTTGTCGGCCCAACTACACCCCCCAAATGCTGAGGTTTAGGGCTCAGGACTGAAAGTTCAGGGCCTGAGGGGCTCGATGAAGCTATAGGCTAAACCCTCCTACTGGAGACAGGTAGCCTTGAAGCCCAGTACCCTGGCCCAAAAAAGTTTAAACTTTTCTTCTAGTAGGGGGTTTGATATACCAAAAAGTTTAAAGTTTACCCTGGGCTCCTAAGGTAGAGTCTTGAAAGCTCCTTCAAGAGCCATGGCGCCGTCGTTCCCACCAACCTCGGGCCATTCTACGGACCGAAAAAGTTTGAACCGGACATCGGGTTTCGAGTTTGATTAGGGCTTATACGGGGGCCATACGGTAAGGTTATAGGGTTTAGGGTTGAGGGTTTAGGGTTAAGGTTTTAGAGGGAACAGTCTGGCACATCGGGCAGGGAACCAGAATGCCTTGGTAGTAGCAGTAGCAGTCGCCGAGTAAACCCTCGGCAGCATTGTTCCCTGCTTGCACAGATCGTGCCTGACTCTGTTTGTGCTACCGCAACTTGGAGACTTGATATCTCCTTGCTGGTGCTATCCGTCCTCAAATACGCCGGCGATGACCAGTAGACTGGTATGTAGAAATGCAATACGACGACGATCACGACGACGACAACTGCGAAGACGACTATGCTTTGTTCCATGTCGTTATGAACTAAGACTCTTAAGAAATCTAAGCCCAAATATAGATCCTCAGCCTAAACCGTAAAACACCTGAAGCGCAAAGGCCAAACCCCGACTAAGGCAACAGCGAATGGCTCTCGCTCAAGGCCCGTTTTCTGCAGCCCTAAACCCCAAGCCCTCAACCCCGCCATGGCGAGGACACAAAGTCAGGATCCATCTAGGATGTAAGGGTTTTGGGTTCAGGGTTTAGGGTTTAGGGTTTCGAGGTTTAGGGTTTAGAGTTTCTGAAACCAGCCCTAAGCAGTGCACATGCACCCCTTCAAGAACAAGAGACGGAACCGAAACTCTGCCTGAGATGTAAAGTAGAGTCGCGAAATAAGGATCGCCTCCCAGAGGCATCCAAAGCCACGGAGCCAATAACATGCACTACTGGAAAACCCTAAACCCTAAACCCTAAACGTTGAAGTCTGAAGTAAAGGAACCCTCAAGGCCACTCCATCCCAAACCTGCAAGTACAAAACCTCTACTACAGAACTACCGCAACCATCAGCTGTGCAATCCGTGCAAAAATCGTGCAATTGCGAGACCGGTGCTAGGGGGATCTAGCCGAAAAAAATGGGGCTTAGACAAGTCCACGAACTCCGGTTGCAGGTCGAAGATTTATGGTCCAGGGGTTCAGGGTTTACCACAGCTGGAGGTTTAGAAGGCTGGAGGTTTTTAAGGACTTTGCTGCCCTCAAACTATCAGTTCTGCATGGCCTTAATATAGGGGCCTTAATAATTAGAAAAGGGTTTTGGGGCCCATTCTACTATAATCATAATAAGGAATCCTGGGGAAGCCCACATGGTCAAGCCGTGTTGGGCCGGCCGCCATCACCTCCAGGGATGCTTTAAGGACGCATGCGGTTTGGGATTTGTGAGTGTGTGTACGTGTGTATGTGATGGTAACACAGTGCGACGTTTAGGCTTTAGAACTCAGGTTACATGATTTTCTGGTTTAGGATTCGGGGTTTTGTGGGTTAGTTGCTTCTTTCTTCAAACTTCGTAAACAAGCACAGTGGATAATGCGAATATGTGTGGGGGCTTCGAGGGAGGGGAAAGATAAGGCAAACTGGACCGACAGAAACTAGAAACCTAAGACCCAACGCCCTTCAGCGGCATGTGGATCCTAGGAAGCCTCTTTAAAGAAACAGCCATAACTACATGACCAACAGTGAAGCGGTAGATCTTACGTCCACCATGAAAATTCTCAAAGGGTTTAGGAGTTTAGAGTTTATTCAGCCCCAGCTCCGGACGTCCCAACTGTGGGGTCCTGCTGCGAAAACGCTTCTGTACAGTTCACCCCTCCGCCTCCCTATCAAGAAAACGGCGGGCACCATCACAAGACACTCAGAAACCGAAGGGTTCATGTAAGCCTGTACCCACGCAGATGGACCCAAAAAAGAAGCCTTTAAAGGACCCTTTACAGAAGCCCGGACCTTTCAAACCCGTCCACCTCGTGACGACGCACTCGCCCGGGCCATGTGCAGGCAAAGCAACCACACTAGGGTTTCGGGCTTAGGGGGTTAGGGTGCAGAGCCGTAGGCATTAAACCCGAAGCCCTAAACCCAAGACTGCTTGCTACTTAAGCCCTATAGGCCCTAGAACAGAAAAGCCATACAGCCTCTGTGGAAGGTACCTCGCATGGCCTTGTGAGGTCGTAGCAATAGTGCATGGCATGGCTTACCTACCTATGAAACTAAACCCTAAGTCCTAAACTCCTAAACTCCAAAAACCCTAAGCACTAAACTCCTAAACATTAAATCTCCGAGCCCGAACTAGTGGGTTTAGCTGCTCAGCTTGGGGCCGGACTCTGATTTGTGCTCTGCTTTCTCTGTATGCATGTTGCCGGGGTGCGGGTTTAGGGTTCAGTGCTTCCCTAAACCCTAAACCCTAGAACCCAAAGCGTTCAAGACGCCAATCACTTTTAAGAGCTCTTGGTTTTTCCCATGTCTGTGAAGCCTCGAAATCAGCGGGGAAGCATCGATCCGCCTTCACAGTAAGGATCCTGGTTTTGAGGAAAGTAGGTAGGTAGGTTGGTTGGTTGGTTGGTTGGTTGTATGTTTTTGCAGCTGTCTGGGTTTAGGGTTCAGGGTTTAGGGTCTGTACTGTAGCCTATACTGAGGTCTTCTCCTTCTCCGGACCGCCATGTCAGAACTCTGCCAACAGAAATCTGAGGCCAGGGTTGGAAATTGGAGAGCAATACCAGAATGATGCTGAAGACTACACTTCAAGGTCATATTTCTCCTGTAGCACAACCTTATAACCACAAACATCTAGCGGAACTCGAACCCTAAACCCAAAGCCCAAAACCTTATGCTTGGCCTGAGAGTCCAGGCAGGAACCCGGGAAATTCGGGTCTTGGCCTCTCATGGCTACACGAACCCCTGAGCCGACTTCTGCTTCTTCTTATAGCAATGTTGTGACCTTTCTTACTACTATTACGGCTAGTCTTATTTTTGATTATTCCTGATTGTTCCTTCTTCTTGTTATTCGCAACTAATATGTTTAAAAATACTCACGAAAAAATTGCTGTTGTACTATAAACTGTTATCATTATCGTGATTATTATTCCTATTATGTGGAATTATTAATAAAGCTAATTGATATTATACTATTGTTTCTGTAACTATCCCTATCACTAGTTTTCAAGACGACTATTATTGCTTACGTAATTGAAAAAACGATAATGCGGCATTGTAACTGTTTGTTGTTATTATGTTTTGGGTGGTGGGCTCCGCAGTTCGAAAATGCATTGCATCTCCATCTGAACCGGAAAGCGCAGTCTTTTTGTCATCTCGGCTTTGCCGATGTCTCCCTGAATTCGGGAACGAAAGCTCTCGCACTGGGACAGGGAGAACCGATCGCGGAAGCCGAATCAAAAAGGTATCCAATGTACTGGGATCTGGGTTTGGGGTTTCGAGTTGAGGGTTACGTTCATAAGTCTAGTGAATGGCATGATCGGAAAGAATACCAACAAAACAGAAGGCTCTATACTTTGAAGGCGACAAGAAGGGTCTGACATAACAGAACACACACCGACACACGCACACCAACGCGCACAAGCCCGACTAGTGAAACGAGGGGCGGCCACGTCCCCCTGAAGGGGGCGAGTGAACCGGATGAGCTGTCCACCTGCCATGGCACAAAGAAATGAAGTCCGAGCCAAGGCGGCTCTGGCGCTCCGCTGACTGTGGGAAGCGTGGCTTTAAGCTTTGCGGGATTCAGGCAGGTTTGGTATTCGCTGAGGCTCCATGTGCCTGTATAGTATATACTTAGGCCTTAAAGGGCTAAGTCGGCTAAGTATACGTTATTTATATGGGTACAAGCGGCCTTTGGGTTACAGATCTCGCGATGTCAATGGTCAGAAATCAAGGCCCGGGGAATCGGTCGTTTCACTTAAAAAACAGAAACCCAGAGAGCCCAATACCCCTGGTTTAGGGTTTAGGGTTTAGGGTTTAGGGTTAATTAAGGAATATACCTTAAATCATAATATTACGGCCCCTATAGCTCAAGGTATCTTCCTTACTTAAGGGGTATTGGGCTCTCTGGGAAATTCTTATCTCATGAACCCTGGACTTCTGACCAAACCGACGATTGTTGGAGCCAGCGGGTTTGGGGTTTAAGGCTTTAGGATTGAGGGTTTAGGGTTTAAGGTTTGTAAGGGTTTAGGATTTAGAATTTACGGGTTTACAAGGTTGGAGGCTTTTCAGGGTCTAGGATTTACGATGGTTTATGGGTTTAGGGTTTTGGGTTTATGATGGTTTATGGGTTTAGTGTTTAGGGCTGGTCGTAATGCCCAATCGCCTGCCATGCTCGTCCGATGCAGCCGCAAGCGCATTGGCCTCCGCAGGACCACTCTCAGACGTCCCTGTACAGATGTAGCATATACTGTAAGCATATACTTTCGTCCTAAAGTACCCTTACCCTTACCCTCAAAGGACTCATATTCTAAGGCTTGGGCCCAAAGACCCTATTA